CTTTAGTCAGGGTGTCATATTTATTGTAATCAGTTGTTCTCAGAAGAGACTTGGGACTTGAAATTTTCAGCAATGCTGAAGTTGTGAGGACTTCTACAACTCTTAGAGATGGACTAAATGCCTTTTAATTAAATGAATGTATATGAGTCTTCAGGGAGTCAGGGACGAAATATCATGGTTTGTGTCTACATGTCTCCTCAAAGCCTCATGTCATGAGGGGATGGGCTTTTCAGAGGTAGCTGAGCCTAGAGTTTGTGATTGATTCATGATCCAACAGTGGAATTAAGGGTGTGAGTGTAACACCTATCCTAGGGCTGGGAGTCTGCGTACAATATAAAGGGCAGAAAGAGGCTAGTTTCCTCCTTGCTTGTAGCTTTTGCTGTCGTCTGCTGCCATGAACTGTTAGCTCCTCTTCCGTGTGCTCCTCTTACCTTAGAGCCAACAGATTATGGACTGAAATATCTACAAACTATAAGCTAAATAAGCCTTTCCTGCTTTAACTTGTGTTAGGTATTTTGTCACAGCAATGAGAAAAGTAACTAAGATAAGCACTATTAAAATTGTAACGAGGGGCCTCAACACCCACTGTCACAAATAGATCAACTAGACAAAAAAAGCCAAGGAAATATCAGAACTGAACCAAACCTGTGAACAAATGCACTTAGGAGACGTCTACAGAGCATTCTACCGCACATCAGAATACACATTTTGTTTCGCAGCACGTGTGACATTCATCAGAATAGACCATATACTGGTTCATAGAACATGCTTAAGTCAATACAAAAGAATTGAAATCATCTGATGCATATTATTAGGCGATAGTACAATGAAATTAGAATCAATGGCAAAAGAACAAAAACTATAAACTCATGGAAATTAAATAATGCCATTTTGCACAACCTTGAGACCCAGATGCAAGAAATGAGAAGAAATGAGATAGTTTCTACAAAGTAAATGGTGATGCTAATATAACATACCAGAACTGATGAGATACAATGTAGAAGTCTTTGTTTTTTTTTTTTTTTTTCAGAACCAGGGATTGAACTCAGACCCTTGTGCTTGCCAGGCAAGCATTTATTCTATTGAACCATCTCCCCAGCTCCTATTATGAGATACAGTGTAAGCAGTCATATGATGGGAATTTATAGTGGTGAACTACATCAGGAAAACAAACAACCTAATGTTGAACCTTAAGCTTTTAGAAAAAGTCTAAACCAAAGCTCAAGGAAATTATAAAGATCAGAGGAAAAACTAATGCAATGGAGACTAAGAAAACAATACAAAGAAACAATGAATTGAGTTAATTCTTTGAAAGATTAAATAAAATTGATAAATCCTTAGCCAGTCTTATCAAGAAAAGGGAAGAGTGGCCAGTGAGATAGCTCAGTGGACTAAAGCACCTGCTTAGGGAAGTGCAGGGACCACAGTTCAATTACCAGGGTGGGCTGAGGCAGCCACAGAATCCAGGCATAGAGGCATACACCTGTAATCTCAGCACTGGGGAGGCTGAAAACAGGACTATCACTATGAGTCTGAGCTCTATAGTGAGACCCTGTAACAACCAAATACATTTAAAAATAATAATATAAAAATAAAAAGGAAGAAAAGACTTAAATCTATGCACTTATGCATGAAAAGTCTTAAATCACAGTGGATCCTGCAGAAATCCAGATCAATACCTATTTCAAGAACTTGTATTCTAATAAGATGCAAAACACAAGAAATGAAGATTCCTAGATACACATGAATTACCAAAACTAAAGAAGATACAAAAGCAGTACATAAAAAAAATTAGTAAAAGTGAAGATGTAATTAAAAATAGCAACAAGGAAAAGTCCACATCTTGATGGATTTACTGCATTCTACAAGAAATTTAGAGAAAATCTAATGGCACTGCCCCTCAAACGCTTCAAGGAAATTGAAAGGCAAGTAATACTCCCAAACTCATTCCTGGAGACATGTATTACTCTAATAGCAAAACCAGAGAAAGTTCCAACCAAAAGAGAACTAAGACTCATATCCGTAATGAAGATAGACAAAAATCTTCAACAAGGTACTGGTAAACACAATTCATCAAATCATCAAAAAGGGGTGGTTAAACATTATGCAAATTAATAAATGTAACAAACCATGTGAGCAGAACCAAGGACAAAAATTACATAATCATCTCAATAGATGCAGGAAAAGCATTTGACAAAGTTGAACATCCATGCATGATAAATGCCTTATAGAAAATTGGAATCGGTAATTTATCACAATCTGATAAAGGTCATCTATGACAAACCAACAGCCAACATCACACTCAATGGTCAAAAATTCAAGTTTTCATTCTAAAACTGGGAATAAGGCAAGGATGTTCACTATCATGACACTTATTCAATACAGTTCTGGAAATATTAACTGGAACAATTAGACAAGAGAAATAAGAGTAAAGATAAAAACAGTAGAAGTTATAATTATTTGCAGATGACATGATATTGTACATAGAAAACTCTAAAACCTTCACCATAAGACTTTTAGGTTTAATAGCTAAAATCAGTCATGTAGCTGGTTACAAAGTCCACTCTCAAAAATCAATGGCTTTCTTGTATATTCACCGAGAGAGGAATTAGAGAAAGCACAACTTTAACAATAGTGATGAAAAAAAATGAAATATTTTGGAATCAGTTTAACAAAGAAAATAAAAGGTCTGTACATTGAAAGCTACAGTGGGCTGGGGAGATGGCTCAGTGGAATAAGCGCTTCCCTGGCAAGCGCAAGGGCCTGAGTTCAATCCCCGGTTCCAAAAAAAAAAAAAAAAAAAAAAAAAAAAAAAAAAACAAAAAGAAAGAAAGAAAGCTACAGTACTCTGAAAAACAAGATCAAAGAGGTTATCAGAATATTATCCCTTGCTCTTGAGTAGCAAGAGCCAACATAGTGAAAACGGCCATACTCCCAAAATTGCCATACAAATTTAATCAAATCCTGGTCAAAATATCAATAGCATACTCACAGAATTAGAACAACCGTAAAATATATTTGGAAATAGAAGAAGAGACCTAAAGTAGCAAAAACAGTTCTGAGCAACAAAGGCAAAGCAGAAGGCATCGCAATCCCTGATGTGAAATTATACTACAAAGCTACTGTGATAAGAACTGCATGGTATTGGTAAAAAAAGCCAGCCAACCAAACATAAACTCCCTCTCCCCTGCAAAAGAAAACAGACCCATGAATCAGTGGAACAGATTAGAAGGTTCAGAAACAACTGCAAACACGCTCAGCTGCCTTACCTTTGATAAAGGGGCCAAACACCTTCATCAAAAGAAAGAGCCTATTTATTAAATGGTGCTAGAAAAACTGACTTTTCACATGGTGAATACTAAATCCAGACACATGTCTATCACCATGTCCCCAACTAAAGTGAAAATGTATCAAAGATGAAACTATTAAGAGAGAAGCACTAAGTCTGCTGGAAGAGAGACTAAGAACCCTTGAAGACAGAACTGTAGACAGAGAATTGATGAACAAGACCATGATTGAACCAGAACTTTTACAAAGAAAGAACAAATGGGATTGTATCTTACTAAAAAAAGCTTTCGCACCGCAAAAGAAATCACCGGCAGTGTGAAGAGATAATCCACTGAGTGAGAAGAAATTTTTGGCAGCTGTTTTTCAAAGGCAGAATATCTAGAATATATAAAGAACTCAAAAAATATCCTCCCCCCAGATTTAAAGCCATAATCCAAAAATGGGCATCTGGAATGAATAAACATTTCTGAGATGAAAAAATTCAGATGGCAAATATATGGGAAAAGTTCAGCATCATTGGTTCTCAAGAAATCAATAACTAACATGCTGATGAGTCTGTGGGGAAAAAGGAAACCTCCTCTACTGCTGGTGGGAACGTAGACTGGTGACACCACTGTGGGCATCAGTGGGGAGATTCCTCAAAATCTAGGACTAGAGGTCCCACTTGACCCAGCTGTTCCCTTTCTTGGTATCTTCCCCGAAGAATTAAAAACATCTTTCCAGGGCTGGTGAGATGGCTCAGTGGTCTAAAGGACCTACTTAGAACAAGCTAAGCCAACCAAAGCACAGGGACCACAGTTCAATCCCCCAGCGCCACATGCCAGCCAGCCCCGCCCCCTGGTGGGCTGAGCTGGCCACACACACACACAAAATAAATAAATAAATAAAATAATTTAACAAAAAACATCTTTCCACATCAACATATGCACACCCATGTTTATAATAGCACTTTTTTTTTCCCGGAACTGGGAATTGAACTCAGGCCGTTGCGCTTGCCAGGGAAGCACTTATTCCACTGAGCCACCTCCCTGGCCTGATAGCACGGTTTTAATAGCTAAATCTTGTAGGTTTTTTGATTTTTGGTGGAACCAGGGATTGAACTCAGGCCCTTGCACTTGCCAGGCAAGCACTGATTCTACTGAGCCATTTCCCCAGCCCCACTAGCTAAATCTTGTAGACAGCCCAAATGTCCATCAGCTGGTAAGTGGGTAAAGAAGACATGGTTGCTTTTAAATGCTGGAGTACTACTTGGCCATAAAAAAATAAACTCAAGCCATTTTTAGGTAAATGGTTGCACCTTGAGACCATACTCTTAAGTGCAATAATTTAACATATGTGTAATGTCACCTTGGTTCTCTGGTATGAAAGACTGGAAATGTGAAAAAGGACCAGCAGGTATAATAGATATCATGAAATAAGAAGACATTGTTCAAAAAGGAAGGGTAACTTGGGAAAGGGGAGAGGGTAAGGAAGGAAGGGCAAAGAAAAAACAACAAAAGGGGAAAATAGAAACTAAGATTTTGTAAATAAGGAAGGGATGAGGGACTGAAGGGAGAGGAGGGGAATGGGAGAAGTGAATGAAGATATGTCAGGAACAGGTACAAATTCCCTACGATGAGTGCGATCGTTACATATATGTAAAATGTACCAGTGAACTGAATTTAAAAAATAACAGGAAGTGACCAAGTTGGAGAAGAAATGGTAATACTTACATTATCAGGACCAATCAGACAGCTCACGCTTTTCAAGGGGCAGAATGTATCAAACTGCCCATAAAAATGTCCACTGCAGGGATTCCATATGAAGTAGTGATTTTGTTCCCAAGTTAGCACATAGACAGTTGGCCCCTGAAGAAAAGCAGATATTAAAAGCAGTTTGGGATGAATTATACAATTAAGGTCAGTAGTAATTTGCACTTTTTTATTTTAAAGAGAATTTTAAAAAGATACAGAATTTCAAAACAGGCTGATGGAAATTAACAATGGTTATATTGCAAATTGTCACCTTCAGAGTAGTTGCTGTGGTAACCAGACATAGATGTATAGATCGATCACACAGTATAAACGCCAAGTGTTCCTTTCAATCAACTGACAGAAATTAGTAGTACACTGACCTAAGCTATCTTGTCTCTGTATACCCGTCTTCCTCCCCTTCTTTCTTTCTTCCTTTCCCTCATTCCAGCTGTTCTTTCCTTTTGAGTGGTCTCCCTCTCAAGGTATCTATTGTACCTTTTGGATGTTATTTACTCTCTCAGTTCTGTACACTGGGGGGACAAGATGTTTTGCACAAACATTTTTGTTGCTTTGGTTAGATCCAAAGACTCCATGACAAATGGTGGAAATTATTTTGTAATTCTAGGCTGCATTGGATTTTAAACATGCATTTTCTTTTTTTTGCAGAATTCTCAGATCTGATATTAGTGCTGTCTAAGTAAGGTTAGCAGTTATTTGACTCGACCAGAATATCTCAAAATTGGCTGTACACTTCTAATGGAAGTAAGAAGTCACTGGCATTTCTTCTTAGAGTGAATAAAACTGCCATTTAGGTATCTAGAAAGCTGATCATTTTGGATCATTATTTCTAGGAAAGCATTTTCCATTTGATACGTGTTTATACAAATGCATAGAGGATATGAACAGCTCTTGGGAGTGGATGGGAGAGGTTTCTACAAAAGCACAGTTAACTGGGGCCTTGAATGGTAGAGGTCCAGCTTTGCCAAAAAGCAATTTGAAATGCTGCTGAGGGACTGAGGAACACTTCAAAACATTTCTTGTCTCACTGGTAGTTCTGGCTACCTGTTAGGGCATTTTCTGGGCTGCTTTCCTAGTAACTTCAACTTGTTACGAAGACCAGTCTCATCCTTGGACTGGGCTGGACAACGGCACTCCTGTGCAGAAGCCAGGCCCCACGACCTCACCTCAGGAATCGCGTTGCCCATCACCAGCCAGGCCTTCTTCCCCAGGAACAGGAAGTAATTACACAGCAGCACTGCGTGTTCCTCTTCATCTCCAGCCAGGAGATCAAGAAATTGCTGACAAGAAGAAAAGAAGAAGGTGGGGTGTGACTGAATGCTTCCTCTGATTGGGCACACAGGGTTTTAGCAAGTCACAGTGGGGTTTAATAGCTTAAAGTAGAAAACATTATTTTTTAAATCCTTTCCCAATTTTAGTAGTACATGGATGATTTTTGGTTTTTGCTGTTTGACAGGATCTTGGTATGTAGTTCAGGTTGGCCTTGAGCTCACTGTGTAGTCTGACCTGGTCTTGAACTCACAGAGACCCACCTGCCTGAACCCCCCAAGTGCTGGGTGTACAGGTGTGGATCACCATGCCCGCTGTGCCAGTTGACGATCTTTAACACTTTTAGTGGACATAGTGTCTTCTATAACATTGGCAGTGATGTAGATTTCTGGAACAGTAATCAGTATGATTAGCGTATGGACAACAACTTAAAGAGTTTTAGTTTTCATTTTAGATGTGTATGACTCTACACTGTATGGTAAATACTCTCTATAGAATATTACCTGCATCAATGCATTTAGTCTTAGAGAACCTTTCAAAGAAAGTACTTTTATTCCCAATTTTACAGATGAGAGCGTGAAGGCGTGGTTCTTAAATACCTAGACAGTCTTGCTCTAGTACATGAACTTCATACATGGATTTCATACTTCATATATCTTCACATGGATCCCTTCAGGTTGTAGAAAATGCCTTCCTAAAATCACCACTCATGTTGCCGCAATATATAGGGGACAAAGAATTTAAAGTACACTTAAATTTCTTTAAGTTAGGCATTTTTTTCAAATAAAGTTGTATAATACTGTGTAATACAAACAGTTCAATGGAAGTTCCAGAAGCAGAATTAATATTTTGGGTATGTATATTTCATATTACTAAGATCAATTTGGAAGTTTATGTGCTCTACAAAATTGTAAATTCAGTAGAAGTGGAGCCTTATTTATTTATTTATTTGTTTATTTTGAGCCATATTTATTTTGCTAAGGCCAGGATGTAGGGCAGTATCTGATATGTAGCAGGTGACATAAGTATATATGAAATAAATAATGATGTAACATGCTTTAGAAAGCCTACAAATTAAGGAATATACAATGCCAATTATAGTATAGGATACATTGTGATTTTTATGAATAAAAGTGAGATGTTACTAAGAGGATAATTCAGCTTCAAGACATCTAAAGTTTTAAATTTTTTGCAGTAGCACACACCTGTCATCCCAGCACTTGTGAGGCTGAGGCAAGAGGATGCCACAAGTTTGAAGCCAGCCTAAGCTCCACAGTGAGTTCAAAGCAGTCTTGGACTACATAGTATGACCCTGTCTCAAAACAACAACAGAAGTCTTATTTTTTATTCTTTGTGCAATTACTTTCTTTTTAACTTAACTGTCAGAAAAATGATCCAAGAGAAAAGATACTACAGCACTTTGCTCATGCTGCTGACTAGGCGGCCAAGTGTGTTTTCATGGTGACTGACATTAGGCCATCGGGCCACCCGGCTAATGTCGGGAAGCAGTAGGTTGGGAGGAGGAAGGACTCACATCAGACGTGCTCCAGAGGTCACAGACGCCGGTGAATGAGGCTGTGTCGGGCAAGAAAGGGATCAAGGAAACGTACCGCGCTGCCAGTTCCTGCAGGAACAAAATTGGTTTTAAAATTATTTCCAGTAAAATAGAAAGTTGCATCCCCAACCTCATTTTT